TCCAGCCTTCAGGGGGGTGGGGGGGGTGGGGGGGTGGGGGTGGGGGGGGTGGTGAACGGCTCCTAGAATCCCTCCCCCCATAGCTGTTCCAGCCTCATCTTTGTTGCCAGCCTTATCCCTGCTGAGCAGGACCAGGATGCTGATTCTGGCAATGACCTTGGCCTTGGGGCCATCCTGGGAGTCTTCCCTTGAAGTCCTCCTTTAAGCCCTGGAGGAACAGAAGTGCCCGCTGGGCCCAGAGCCCGCTGTGGGTGTTGGAGGCTGGGCTAGGCTCCCAGCAGAAGCCCTGCTCTGTGCCCTTGGGCGGGTTACTTGGTCTCACCTAAGAGTTTGCTCACCTACGGAACGGGGAGAAAGGACTCGCTCTTCCCTGGTGGTTGTGGATCTTAAGTGGGGAAACGCGGGCGCCATCCAGCTGCTCAGTAAAGGCTGTTTGTGGGGAGGGGCTGCTATGCCTCCCGTGGAGGCCCAAGAGGGGCTTGGTTTGGGTTCCTGGGATTTCAGGGGCGAAAGGGAAGGCTCTGTGTCCTCTGGAGTGAGTGTGGGCTGTGGGAAATCCCTGCAGCCGCCAGCCCTCTGTCTTGCAGAGTTCTAGTGACTCTCTAGCAAGGACGGCCTGGGTGCCTGCTCGGGAGAAGGGGGACAGGAGAGGTGGGACGTCTTGCTCCGGGATCAAGTAGAAGCTGGAGCCCAGACCAGACAGCTCAGCAGCCTTGGGGGAAGTCACTGGCCAGCCTGCCCAGGCCGGGTCTTTGCACTTCTCTGCAGGGTGCCGTGGGCCCCCCCCCCCCCCGAGGGTGTCCGGCTGGGGTGGGAGAATGCCGGGCCGGCTCCAGAGCTGCTCCGAGTCAGCCATGGGCCCAGCAGCTGCACCGAGGCCACTGCCCCGCGGCCATGCCTTGGAGCCACTGGTGCTCACCTCCCTGCCGCCTGCCCACACGCCTGAGGCCAATGGTTGGGTTCCAGATCGGCCGCGTCTGTGGCCAAGACCAAGCAGGTCCGACGCCCGCCAAGCCACGGAGTTGACACTCTCCCAAAGAACGAGCTGAGGCCTGACCTCCCCCTGGGGCGAGAGGATGCGCTGGGGCTTGCTGGTCTGGCAGGCGACCCAGGAGCCCAGCGCCTCACCCAGGCCACCCCTTCCCGCCCCTCTGATGTGGCCAAACTTCAGCCTTGCTTCCCAGGCAGGGGCTGGGTGCCCTGGCAGCCGGTACCCAGAGGCCCCGGTGAGAATGAGGCCGGAGTAGGGAGCACAAAGTCTAGGCACCTTCCAGGGTCGGGCAGGTTCCCGGTGTTGGGGAGCAGGATGGAGGTCCTTGGTGGGGAAAGGAAGTCGAAGGTGTGTGCCCAAGTCACCAAAATGAATGCAGAACCAGAGAGGAGACCCCGGGGTCCAGGAGACAGGTGCCCCAGGTGGGCCAGCGCCTGCATTTCCGCCTAAAAAGAAACTGGGCTCCTTCCGAGAGCCAGGGGGTGGCGGGAGGCTGCTGAGAGCATCGCCGACAATTTCCTTCCTAAAAATGCGATCTGAGAGCTTTTGATTTCCACTTTCACTTCCCCCTGCCCCTGCCCCAACACACGCACTGTCTCCAAAGACACTCAAATTGCAGCCATATGGGGCTGAAGTCCTAGGAAGCAGTTACCTTATTTACTGCAGAGGCGGCGCACGCGAACCTGGCAGCCCGGCCACGGCCCAGCGGCCGGATGAGGGGCGGCGGTTCTCATTCTTGGAAACTTTGTTTTCACTCCCAGGAGGTGCACGTGGGACCGCCCAAGCTCTAGCTTTGAAGGAGGACAGCGGGTGTGCGGGAAAGAGAAGGGAGGTGTGGAGAACTGAGCGATGGAGGAAACCAGGAAACCGTAAGAAAGGTGGGGAGTCGGGCTCCGCGGGAGCGCCGGCTCCACACGCCCCACGCTGGCGCCCTCTCCTGGCACAGACAGGCGCCCCTCCGCGCCCCGGGGGAGGCCCGCGCTGCGGTGCTCTGCAGATCCATTTCTCAGATGCTACCTCTCAGTCGCTAGGCTGTTAGGGAGTCCAGGCCACCCCGGGGCCTGTGTGCACCTTCTCTGCAGCCCCGCTCTCCCGAGGACAGCTGAGCGGGAGAACGGGGGAGGCGGGGGTGGACGTCCCGCCCCCGGTCAGGGGTTGCTTTCCCGGAAGGACTGGGTTTGCTGCGACGAGGACCGGCCTGGTCTGGTCGCCCTCGGATTATTCTACACCCTGGGTGCTTCTGGATCGAGTTCCGCCCTGGCGACGGGCTCTGCAGGAATCCCCGACGTCTGCAAACCGAGACACCGAACACGCGATGATTTTGTGCAGAACAAGCGTGTTGGCCCCCAGACGGGAAGACAGGCGGGAAGGGGCAGCGGGGAAAGGACTACAGACCGGCCCCTCCAGAGAAGGGAGCCCCGCGAGGCAGCGCCAGGGAGTTCCTCTCCCCACAGAGGCTTCCACGGCTCTTAGGCGAAGGAGCAAGGGAGGGAGGAGAGAGATGGAAGGAAGGAAGGAAGGAAGGAAGGAAGGAAGGAAGGAAGGAAGGAAGGAAGGAAGGAAGGAAGGAAGGAAGGAAGGGAGGGAGGGAGGGAGGGAGGGAGGGAGGGAGGGAGGGAGAGAAAAACGGAAAGACAAACGCAGGGAGGGAGCGGCGCTAACTTTCTCAGCGTGAAACTGAAACCGGTGCGCGCCGGGGTGGCGGGGGCACGCGCACGCCCTCCCGGGGACCGGGCTCCAGAAACGCCGTCTGCGGGGAGGCCGCGGCTCCGGACGGCGCAGGCCCAGGGGCTGGGGGAGGGCGGGAGGCGAGGCGGGTCTGGTCCTCAGCCGCGTCGGGTGGCGCCCTCCCTCCAGCCTCCGAGGGGCCCGGGAGGCAGCCCGAGGAGCCGGGGCCGCGGCGGGCGGAGGACTCCGGGAGGGGCGAGCGGCGTGCGCAGACACTCGGCGGCCCGGGCGGAGGGTGGGCTTTCTCTGGGCGGGGAAACCAGACACTTAGAGGCGGCTGAGACCGACTTTATTTTTACTGCCCGAACTGTTGGAAAGTATTTAAGCTTAAACAGAAACAGCTGTATCGCTGGCACCGGCCAACGAAACTATTTGTTACCGGGAATGACTTTTTATGATGAAGGACACGGCCGTCGGCGGCCTCTCGCGGGTCGCCGGGGCGGTCTGGGCGCCGCCGTCTCGCTGTTCCTTAGGACCGAGTGGCCCGAGGGATGAGACTGCGGACCCAGCTCCCACCTCGGAAAGTTTGGGAACAAGACCAAGACCTGGAGCCCCGCGTTTGCAGGGGTGGGGGCGGGGAGGGCGAGGGAAGGTGGGCTCGGAGCCGGGTTGTCCCCCGGGACTAGGGCCGCGCTGCGCCCGCCGCCCGCGCGCACCCAGCGTTGGACGGGCGGCCGGTTTTCCGCTCGGGGCTTCCTGCTCCTGGGAGTCAGGCTTCTTGGCTCGCTTTTGCGCGCAATCTCTGTCTCTCTCTCTCCCACCCCATCCCTCTCCAAAGGAAACAGCCTTCACTCAAGTTTATCGTCGATGTTGTAACTAAATCGTGGGTTCCCGGGAGTGAGTGCTGGGCCTGCAGTCGGGGCGGTGAGAGAAGAGGGTCGGGGAGAGCTGGGCCCAGACTTGGGCCGCTGTGCCCGCCGCCGCCCCCGCCATGGTCACCGCAGGCTGAGCCAGCGCTCGTGTGCACACGCGAGCCGCCCGCGGCCCGGCCCGGGCCCCCCAGCCGGGACCCGCCATCTTCGCCCCAGAGCCCCTCTCGTTTCACTCGCACTGGACCCCGCCACGCGCCGCTCCGCGTTTTCTCGCCGAGTGAATGTCGCGCACGTCGGGAAGAGCCGTGGACAGGAAGTGCGTGACTCGGCCCCGCAGGTCGCCCGGGTCCAGGACACCGGGACGCACCCCCAGCCCCACTCTCCAATCCTAGCCAAGCTCTGGGTGGTCGACGCCCTCCCCCAACACATCCAGGCTCGGGGCCGGGGCTGCTGGGCTGAGGCTGGCGACACTAGGACCGGAGGCTGGCGGGCACGAGCAGCGCGGGCTGGCGGCAGGGGCAGGTGGCTGCGGGCGTGGGGACGGGTCGGGACGCGGGGAGAAGGCGCGCGACATCCCTCCGCGGAGTCCCGGGTATCGGGGAGGCTCGGGCTGGAAGAGTGGGTCCCTCCTGGGTCTGCATTCGGCTTCCGAGCTGGGGGCGAGCTCTCGAGCCCAGCCCGGCTCGCAGGGCCCGGAGGGTGGCCAAGGGCAGGGCTGCGCGACAGGAGACGGAGACACAGGCACATTGATTTGTTAGCAGGATGGGGCTGGCGGCGGCGGGGGAGGCCGTTGCTATGGAGACCGAAGGTCGGGTGTGCGCTCACGGGGAGGGGCGGGGAGGGAAGCGGGCGAGGGGCGCGTCGCCGGCTCCCGGGGTCCGGGCGCGGCCCAGGGCGCCCCAGCACCTGTGCATTGTGCATTGTGCGGCGCGAGCGACGGGGGGAGGGAGGGGAGGGCGCGAGCCTGGGCAGTGGGGGCGGGGCGGGGGTCTGCCGAGGGGGCGGGGCCTAGCTGACACGGCCGCGGGGGTCCCAGCGAGAGCTGTGGGGAACCCGGCGCGTCGGAGGGACCTCTTAGCGGAGGGGGAAGGGGCCCAGGCGAAGACACAGGGCGGACGGCCCCTCTAGCCAGCCCGGCAGACTGACAGCAGCCGGGCCGCCCTCCCCGCGACGTCACTTCCGGCGGCGGCCCCCACCCCCTTGCGCTCAGTCCCTGGAGTTGCCTCGGACTCCGCCCCTTGGCGATTGGAACGCGGGTCACGTAGCAACGCGGGCAGAAAGGGAGAGGGGCGTGGTCCGGCGCTCGCCCAATCAGCGCGCGGGGGAGCAGGCCCCCCCCACCCCCCGTCCGCTCGGCTTTAGCAACGTCGTTAGCAACACGTGGGGCGGGAGGAAGCGCTGGGCGGCCGGGGAGGGGGGAGCGGAGAGCAGGCGGGAGGCGGGGAGGGAGCGAGCGCGCAGGAGGGGGAGGAGAGCTGACGTCAGCGGGAGAGTATTATGGTCTGTCGTGCGCTGGCTGCTGCTTTTCTGCTCCTGGAAGCAGCCAAGGGGGGAAGCGGCGAGTCAACATGGAGCTTTCAGCGGTTGGGGAGCGGGTGTTCGCGGCCGAAGCCCTACTGAAACGGCGCATACGGAAAGTAGGTGCCCCTGGGCCTGGGGCCGAGGCCGGCGAGCCCTCCCCTCCCGGCCCAGGTTCCCTTCCCCTGCTGCAGCCCAGCTTCCCTTCCCCCAGGTCCCAGCAGCGGCCGCGGCCGTGGCGGCGGCGGCGGCGGCGGCGGCGGCGGCGGCTCTGAGCCCAAGCGCTTTCCTTAGACTTGCAGCGATGCACAGATTGCATGAGTGGGGGGCGGGGTGGGGGTGAATGCCGGTGCATGCACTTTGTGCAGCGTTTCGTGCAGGGGGCGATGCGGTGGACTCGTGCCTTTCGCGACAGGATTTCACGCATTCATTTGGTGCATGCATTTTTTTGCATGTATTTCTTGTGTCCTCGTCATGCATTTCTCCCGTGCACACACACATTTCCCCCTTTGCATCCACAGGGACGCATGGAATACCTCGTGAAATGGAAGGGCTGGTCGCAGAAGTAAGTAGGTTATATGCAGTGCTCAAGCCCAGACTGTTATTCGGGAGGTTTCTTTCTTCCTCTTTTTTCCCTTTATGTCGAAATACAATACAATGCCAGGAGAAAAGTTATAGACAGACACACACCCGCTGCTCTTTCCCTGTCCCCGGGACTGACGCCCCTTCTTCCTGAACCCCTCCAGGTACAGCACATGGGAGCCGGAAGAAAACATCCTGGATGCTCGCCTGCTCGCAGCCTTTGAGGAAAGGTACAGGCCCGTCCAAGCCTCCGCTTCTCCCTTAGGAACAAGGAGGCGGCTTCTCTCCAGCCTGGACCGCAGTCCCATCCTGTCTCCTTACTCACACTCGCCTTTCCCACCTCCTTTCTCCAGGGAACGAGAGATGGAGCTCTATGGCCCCAAAAAGCGAGGACCCAAACCCAAAACCTTCCTCCTCAAGGTAGGATGGCCTTGTCCAGTGGTGGACAGCGATGTTGACCCTGCGGGCTGGTGAACCAGTGGGGTGCCCACACACTTTGTCTATTTGTAATCTAGGAGGGAATCCCCAGACAGGCCGTGGACCAGGTCAGTGGCTGTGCCAAGGGGTGTCTTGCGGGGGAGGGTCTTAGCCACCCTAGAATTCCTGCCCCCCAGCCATCCCAAATAGAGAGATAGTAAAATACAAGAGGTGTGCTTGTGACGAATGGCTGATCCCAGATGACTCCCTACCCTTCCCCCTAGACTGCCTCCCCTAAGCCCCACCCCCACCCATACAGAAATTCCGAGGCATCTGAGGGGGAAACCCAGAGGCTGTCTGGGAGAGGGGTGCTGGGGAGGTGGGTGGGCAGGGCCTTGCTCCACTGTTGACACTGCCCTTCTCGGTAGGCCCAGGCCAAGGCAAAGGCCAAAACTTACGAGTTCCGAAGCGACTCTGCGCGGGGCCTCCGGATCCCTTACCCTGGCCGCTCACCCCAGGACCTGGCTTCTACTTCCCGTGCCCGGGAGGGCCTTCGGAACATGGGCCTGTCCCCGCCCGGGAGCAGCAGCAGCACCAGCAGTACCTGCCGCGTGGAGCCCCCTCGGGACCGTGACAGGGACCACAGGGACCGGGATCGAGAGAGGGAGAGGGAACGTGAGAGGGATCGTGAGCGTGATCGGGGCGCCAGCCGCGTGGATGACAAGCCCAGCTCGCCAGGGGACAGCTCCAAGAAGAGAGGCCCCAAGCCCCGGAAGGAGCTGCTGGACCCCGCGCAGAGGCCCTTGGGAGAAGCCAGCGATGGCCTGGGAGATTACCTCAAGAACAGGAAGCTGGAGGATGCCTCCTCCGGGGCAGGAAAGTTCCCTGCCGGCCACAGCGTGATCCAGCTGGCCCGGAGGCAGGACTCCGACCTGGCCCAGTGCGGGGTGGCCAGCCCCGGCCCTGCCGAGGCCACAGGCAAACTGGCCATGGACACCTTTCCCGCCAGGGTCATAAAGCACAGGGCCGCTTTCCTGGAGGCCAAAGGCCAGAGTGCCCTGGACCCTGGTGGCCCCCGGGTCCGGCATGCCTCAGGCACCCCCGGCTCTGTGGGAGGCTTGTATCGGGACATGGGGGCTCAGGGGGGCAGGCCCTCTCTCATCGCCAGGATCCCAGTGGCCAGAATTCTGGGGGACCCCGAGGAAGAGTCCTGGAGTCCTTCTCTGACCAACCTGGAGAAGGTGGTTGTCACCGACGTGACCTCAAACTTTTTGACCGTCACCATTAAGGAAAGTAACACGGACCAAGGCTTTTTTAAAGAGAAAAGATGAATTGCTGGGTGGGTGATCCCAGGATAAGAGAGCAGGAGAGAGTGAGAGCGTAAACTTGGCATAAATGATGCTTTTTATTTCTGGGTGGGAGGCGGCCTTCGGGCTCCCCCCCCCCAACTTCACACAGCCCACCCCTTCATTCCTCCTTCCTCCCTGTCAGTCTTGGTTGGAAGATTATTTCTAGAGTTATATTTTCTATTAGATGTAAATATGTTATTTAAGAAAAAATATCTAAATATATATATTTCAACTCTCGAAGTTGTTTTATTTAACAAGGAGAGAGGCAGACTCAGTGTGGGTTAGCTGGGGCAGACAGGCTGCCATGGGGCAGGAGGGGCCCCTCAGCTCCCCAGGGGACTAGGGAGGCTGGGGACCTGGGTACTGGGCCTCTGGTGGTGTCTGGAGGGACTCAGCTGGCCCTCCCCTCCTCCCTTTTCCCACAGCCCCATGGCAGACCCCTCCAACCAAGGCAGGGCCCAGGTTTGTTCTCTCTCCCCATTGGCCAGCCAGGCCAGCAAAAGATTGGCTCCCCAATCAGAAAATAGGGGGTGGGGTCAGTCTGTGTTTCCAATTTTTTTTTTTTTTTAGATTAAGAAGTATGGGGGGGGGGGGAGGCGGAGTATTAACTTGAATCACTTTTCTTATGGGTGATTTTGAAGGTGAAAAGTCGCGGGTGGGTGGGGAGCAGCTGACTTCCCCCCAGGACCACACCAGGAAATGCACTTTACGGGGATGTGTGTGTTACTCACGCAGATCGGATCGTGTGTATGTGTGTGTCATGCGGATAAAACTGCCCAGTTCCCTCCCTCCCTTTCCTTACTCCACAGAGAGAACAGAAACCCAGCGAATCTGTTTACATTCCCGAAATGCCAGGAGGAGCGGGGAGGATGGCGCGGCAGTGCCCAGAGCTGGAGACGGTCTCACCAGAATAGGGTTTGGGGTTGGACGTTTCCTTTCGCGTCTGCTAGCGACTCGGGAGCAGAGCCGGGCCCCCAGTTCCCTGGAAGAGTTGGACTCGCCTCCCTCGCGGAGGGCGGGCCGCCAGCCCGGGAAGGACAGACGCACGGCCAGACGGGCCCACCCGGCGGACCCACGGAGGGAGGCGCGGCAGAAGCCGGGCTTCGCGCCACGGCCCCGGCCTTGGCCTTGGCCTTGGCCTGGCTGCGGGTGCGGTGGCGGGTCTGGGCCCTGGCTGGGCGCCGGGCAGGACTCCCACCCCGGCGGCTCCCTCCGGCGGCGGGGCCAGGGGAGGAGGGGCGAGGGGAGGTTTCCATCCTAGAATGCGCATCAGAACTTTTGCTTTTCCCTCCCCGCCTTCTTAAAAGCAAAAGCTATAATTTATAGTCCTTTTCGATGCGCGGCGTTCTCTATTTGAACTCCACATTCAAACTCCGGCGAAGGGGCGGGAGGAGCGGGAGTTGGGGAGGAGGCGGCCGCGGCGGGGGAGGCCGTGCGTGGCGGCAGGTCCCCGACGCCCCCGCCCCGGCGGCTCCTGACCACGCTGCGCTCCCAGGACGCAGACCGCGAGCCCCACTCGACTCAAAAGCACAAATCTGCCCCCTTTCTCCCTCCGAAGACTGATCCTGCGGCCTCCCCGCCCTTAAAGGGCCAGCGGAGACCCAACTTTTCAGCGCTCCTGGAGGGAGGGGTGGAGGGGGGCGCGCGCTGGAGGAAGCACAGACCCGGGGCGAGCGAGGCGGGGAGCAGGGCGAGGGGGAGCTTCTCATTGGGGGGACAGGGCGGGAACCCCAGCCTCGCGGCCCTCCGCACTGGGGTGTTCCCACCTCCTGCGCCCCAGCCTCTCTCTCCTCCAGACTTTCTTGCCTTGAGAGAGGGGGTGAAAGAAGAGTGAAACAGTGTATTACATGACTTTGTTTGTTTTTGAATATTAAATTGCGCCTATAAAGGAGCCCCTAGGATGGGGATTTTTATCTGCTCACATTTGTAAACTGGTATTTTAGACTTTGTATGGGAAGCGCCGTTGACTGAGTGTATCTATGGAAATGCCGACGCTATTTTCAGATGAGACTTCATTGAAGGGACCTGCCTGGACCCGAGTGGACAGTAACTCGGGGACACGTGTCTTTACCTGGCTGCCGCCGGTCCGCCCTCCCTCCGCCTTCCTCCCTTCCGGCCGCCTGTGCTCCTTCCTCCACCTCCCGGGCGGCCTGGCTCTGCCCCCGCGCCTTTGTCCGCCCGGCCCGGCCGTCTGTCCCTGGCCGTGTGTCTCCTCCGCTGGCTGACCTGGGGACCGGGTAGGCAGGGCAGGGCTGTGGCTGGCGGCCGGCAACCGCTGGGACTGCGCGGGTCGGGTTTATTTAATTCTAAGGTTCGGGCAAATCTTGGATCGATCTCCGCCTCAGCTCAACAGTGAGGCTTCGGTACTTATCTTCTGCGGTCGTGAATGTCTGTCTGTATCCGATACGGCTTTTTACGTGTTTAAATATATACTTTGTAAATAGAGATGTCTCCGTCTTATTCCTTCTCTCCCCTCCCCCTCCCACTGGAGCAGGCGGACAGGGGACCCCCCCTCCTCTCTCAATACTACCCCACCCCCCATGCTGGCCCCAGCAGCCCAGGGGGACCCCACCCCCAAGGCCCTTCCCCGCCGGGGAGCCCCAGCTGGGGGGGAGGTGGGCTCGGGAGGGAGCGGGAGGAGGAGGCCTCGGCTCCCCTCGCCCACCTAGTGCATTTCTCTGGGACCCAGCAGAACTCGGGGACCCCGGGAGGGTGGGCGCGACTCCTGCGCCCCCCCTTCCTCTGTCGGGTCTGCCCCACCGAGCTCCTCCCCCCAGGCCCCATGTTGCCGGTCCCCCCCAAGGCCAGAGCTCCTCGCCGCCGCGCTCCGGGGCGCTCGGGCCTGCTCCCAGTCCAGTCGTGGGACCCGCCCCCCATCCTCCCAGCCTCGACTGCTCTCCCCGAAATGCAGGCCTCTCGCCTATTGATTGAGGAATTGAATTCGCGGGTATTGCTAGGCAACTGGCTGCTCCAAGCGGCGCAGGGCGAACTGATGTGATTAGTGAACCCGGAGCTGCCGCGCGCTCCCCGCGAGCCCCCACAGCCTCTCCCTCTGTCCCGGCCTTCTTGGGGGGCGGAACCGGGAGGACCGGATCTCAGGGTGGGGGTGGGGGTTCCCGGCCTTCCTGGCCGCAGTGGGGGCGGGGTCGTGAAACCCGCGCAGGACAGCCGCTCTCAGGATCCCCAAAGTGGCCGTCGCATGGAACCCATCCACCCCGAGCCCCGCAGACGGCGCCCCGAGAACAAGCGCGGATCCAGGAGCCTTGGCCCAGCGCGAAGGGAGGGGCGTGTCTCCTCTTATCTCCTCTCGGCCAACAAGTCGGGGCGCTCTCCTCGCCTCCTCCCCCCGTTCTGTGACCTGCGTGGGAGGACGGGAGGGAGGGAGGGAGGGAGCTGCGGGCTGGGGCTGCGGGCCACCGAGCGCTGAGTGCCCGTGGGCTGTGCGGGCCTCGCCCCGGGGTAAAGTCAGTGGGCGGGAGTGGAGGGCTCCGTGGAGGGCGCAGCGGGCGGTCACCCCCAAGCCACGGCCCTGCTGCTCCGCCAAACTCCCTCCCGCGTGGCTCCTGGGTGCTGGGGCGGCGCAGTGGGCGCCCCTGGCCCGTTCCCCGGCTGGTTGGCCGCCACCGACCTTCGCTTGGACCGGGAGCTCCTAACTCGGGTTTGGTTCGCTGGGCAGATTCTCCAGGAAAGCGCCCGGGTGTGGAGGCCCCGGCCGCGGTGCCGCCTCCCATCCCACCCGACGCTCCTCTGCGCCCCGAGGGCAGGGTCGGCTGGGGCAGCCGCCACCAGCGCGGAGCCGGCCGGGCCCACACCGGCTGAACTGGAATGTTTATGGCTTTTCCGTTTGTCTAGGATCCCCATCGAGGCCCTGTGCTGTGCAAAGGAAGACCCCACGGCCCACAGTCCTGCCCAGCACGTTGGAGGCTCGCACCCCGGTTTCTCCTTCTCACTGAGAAGTTCCCCGCCCAGAGGAGGCCTTGGACCGGCCTGGAGCGCGCGACGGAGAAGCTAGGGGCTCGACGGTGCTCCACAGCGGCGCCCAGCCTCGGGGCCTGGACACCGGGAGAGGGGCCGTGGGCTGTGCCCGGGGTTCTCTTCCAGAGACTTCGCAAACAGGGGCAGCTGGCAGCCCGTTCGGGCCGTCGGGGCGCGGGTCGTGCAGTTCGGTTCCGCGGGTAGCTCAGAGCCGGGAGCTGGGAACTTCCCCCGCGCGCCCGAAGCGCCAGCGGCCGGCACTTGGCAGGACGCGCGCGCCCTCTAGAGGCGATGGCCTTAGCCCCTCTCCCCGGGCCGCCCTTGCCTCTCTGGGTCGAGCAAGGAGCAGGGCCCGCCTCCTCTGCCCCACCCAAGTGGGCACCGTGCGCGCCCCCTCTGCGGCCAGGGCTCCGAGCGCGGGAGGATGGAGGGAACGCGGTGTCCAGCCGCCGGATCCCCGTCTGGGAACCTGGATGTGCGGATCATGCCAGGCGCCTTCGGACCTGGGGGCTCCGGGCCCAGCCCTCAGGCCGGGTCGGACCCCTTGGCGACCAAGCCCGTTCTTCTGGAAAGGCGGTGGATGAGGCGGCAAACTCAGCAGCGCATAAAAGTAACAAAGGCCGGTGTGGACCTTGGCCCGCACCCATCTGTCCGAGGCTCCGTATAAATTACTCCCAGGAAAGCCTGGCTCGCTACCCGGGTGCCTGTGTGTGTGTGTGTGTGTGTGTGTGTGTGTGTGTGTAGCACCGGCTCCCACTGCCAGTTTGCTCCTTCCCAGCCCCCCCAGCCCCTCTCTGCAGCTCGCAACACCCCAGGACAGGACGCTAGGGTGGTCCCTGCACACTTTCCCCAACACAAACCTGCTCCAGCCTCTGAAGGCGAAACAAAAGACAACAAGCCGGCAGCCTCCTGCGCAGAATCTGATTTCAAACCCGCAGGCTGGGCTTGCACTTCTAGCTGCAGTGGGAACCTCCCGAACGAAGGCATCCGGCATCCGGGCCTTTGCCCCAAACCAGGGGCGGCCGACAGGCAGGCCCAGCTACACTTCGCTTCAAAGGGCGCTAGTTCTCCCCGGAGGCTGAAATGTATGAATAAATTCATGCCCAGGGTGCTGCGGCCTTGAAGGGACCAGGGAAGGCTCTTTAGGAAGCAAGTCATCTGTCGTGGGCCTGGGTCAGGCCTCGCAGCAGCCGCTCACGCAGGGCTTTGCAGCAATTCCCCCGGAATTTTATTGCTGTGTCCTTTTAAAGTGCTACCACATGTGGTGGGTTCAAGGGCTAGAGCGGCTTCCCAAGGCAGCACCTCTGGATGCTGGGGGAGGGGAGGCGCGGGGCTGTTTCAACCTAAAGTACCAGTTTCTGGGAGATTGTCTCAAAGTGGGTTCATGAAGCATCACAGCGTCTGGGCCTCTAGCGCTGGATGCCGGTGGCAACACTCACCCGACCCCCCGTTGTGCCCCATGTCCCCTGGGATGCCAAACCACTCTTTGTGAAACGCTGGTACAGGGACTCACTTCTATAATCGACCACACACCTTTGCTTAGGAAAAAGAATCCTTTTCTGCACCCCAG